TTGGAGGGGGATGGGGGCCGAGGCCTCAGAGCTCCCAGTATGTGAGAGGCTGCACGCTGGGCCGCTGCACCCTCTCCCCCAACACACACCAAGTGCACGAATTTCGTGCACCGGCCCCTAGTAATCATATATTATTCTATACACAAGTCTTACACAAACACAACTATTTCTTGTATTTCTTATATTTTTAGTGGCAAAAATAGTTTGCCTACAAACTTGGGCAGTAGTAATCCATTTTCATTTATCAATAACCAGCTGAGCATCTACTATGTGCCACTCACTCGCTGCCAGATGCTGGCAACATTTAGTAAGAATGATCAATCCTGCTCCCCCTGGACCTTACTCAAAACCTAATGGTAGTTCAGCCCTGGCCCAGTGGCTCAATTGGTTGAAGCATCATTCCATACACACACACACACACACACACACACACTCACACACACACACACACACACACACAGGGCCTGGTTTCCGGTCAGGGCATGTACCTAGGTTATGGGTTTGAGCCCCATTGGGGTGCGTACAGAGGCAGCTGATCAATGTTTTTCTCACTCTCTCTAAAAAATCAATAAAAACATATCTTCATGTGAGCATTAAAAAAAATCTAATTGCAGTTCTAAAGCATTTAAAAACTGATTTGCTATATTTAAAGTAAGTCAAAAGCTATTTTCACTACAAACTAATATTTATTCTAACACAATATTGGACACATGGCTTTGTGAACAATAGTTTCCATCTTGTTTTATTATAAAATACTAGAAAAATAATTAAATTATTTTGTTTCAAAGTACTCGTTGTGACACAAATGTGACTTAAGGAGTGCTTAGAGTGAGTCAATTTATTTAAAAGTTATCAAATATATAAGCTACATATTAAAAATAAGTTGATTTTCTAATAATTTCAGGCCAACAGCTTGAAAGCCCTTGGTCAAACCCTGACAGTGAATAGGTAGGGATTCCCATGTGTGCCAGTTATTAATTTACTAGAGGCCCGATGCATGAAATTGGTGCAAGGGTTGGCCTTCACAGCCACGGCTGCCGCAGCCCTCACAGCCCCAGCCTCATCCAGAAGGTCATTCTGCTGTTCAGCCATTCGGGAAATTTGCATATTACGCTTTTGTTATTATAGACTAGAGGCCTGGTGCACGACATTCATGCACAGGTAGGGTCCCTAGGCCTGGCCGGCAATCAGGGCTGATCTGTGGGGCAACTGGCAGGGCGATCAGTGGGGCTCCCACTGGCACTTGCCTTGGCTGGCCTGGCACCACCTGCTCACTAGCTGTTGCCAGTTGCCTCCCTCTGTGGGAGGTGACCAGTGGGGCGATTGTGGAGTGGGGGCATTGCCGGCCCACTCACCGGCTGGCCCCGTCCCCCGATCACCCTGCTGCCACCACCAACCACCTCCCTCTGTAGGACGTCTGGTGGCATGATCAGGGTGGCCCCCGCTGGCACCTACCTTGGCTGTCCTGGGGCCTGTGGGCTGGGGGCAGTTCCTGCATTGAGCATCTAACCCCTGGTGGTCAGTGTGCATCATAGCAACCAGTTGTTCCACTGGTCGTTCCGCCATTCGGTCTATTTGCATATTAGGCTTTTATTATATAGAATTGTTTTTTAGTTCCAAATCCACCCTTCATTGTCTGCTCTGGAAATAAATATGGTCTCTTTAAATATATGTTTAACAGCTGTTGCAGTGTTAACCTATGTGGATAAAAGGTGCTGGAAAGACCTGTAGAAGAAAGGACTGTTTCTTCTCAGTTCCATGCTCTACTGCAGCAGCGTGGGGGGCTCCCCAGCACCTGCCTCCTGCAGGGCATGACAGGCAGCAGCACCTAACAGACAGCAGCTTCCTCAGGGACACTCAGGATGGTTTTGTAACAGAGTGCCTCCAGAAAGACATTACTGGCAACACCATACCACCCCACATCACAGCGACTTCTTTACCATCCGGACCAAAGCTATGCGCTCTCCTATAAGGTCAGGATCTTAGTGCTGGGGGAACCTGTGCCTCAGGTAGCTTACCTTAGCTCTAGGGATAGTGGTTGCTCCTTAATCTTTTATTCCTATATCTTTAGTTCTTATTAACCAGTCTCTGGTATTCTTTGTGACTATTAATAATTATTTATGTTAAAATTTCTCTGTTCAGAATACTGCATCATTCCTCTTTCCTGATTAGACCCTGATTAATATACCATAATAAATCACTTTTGATGCAGAATGTTCCACTAAACATATCCCTAAAATTATGGAATTACATAACTTCAGAGATACAGTTAAATAGAGAGTAAATAGTAAAAACGGTAACCTAGGAGGGAGGGCATGACCCCAAGAAAGTCCCAGGGGTGCCTTTGCAACTCTAGTCCAAACAGACAGAATAGCCACTGTTCCTGATATTAAATAAATAACAGAAAGTGGAGGGTAACAAAACTGCTTAGTTCAACTTCCAATTTA